GTGTAAACCAGCCTTAAATCCAATTGTGATCAACCTGCACTGAGCATGTACTGTATATGAATTTTATATACTTGCAGTTCAGGGCTTACATTCAGCTGCAAAGCAATAATAAAATTGTTTTACAAAGCAATGTTCTGAGAATGTCAACAAAACTCTTAGATTGTAAGCTCCAAGGATCAGGACCTTCCATCCCTCTTTTATTGAACTGTATTGTCTTCGGTTATATTGTAAAGCGCTGAGCAAACTGTTGGCACAATATAAATCCTGTATAATAATAATAATAACAAACAAGCCTTGATTTTCATTCTGCATCTGTGACCCTGAAGTCTCGCAGGATAATGGCCACTGTAACAATCATCTGTGACTAATGCAGGCCATAGACGGGTCGAACATCGGCCGATTTTCAAAACACAAAAAAAAAAAACGGTCGTTCGGTCGGCTGACGTTACTACCAACGGTAACAAAAATTTGCCAACAAAATCATAGAGTTCACCCCATAACTTCTGTCCCTTGCAGATCATGGCTCGTGCAGATTTTTAAATCGGTAAAATGATCGGCCAATTTGCCCATCATTGCTGGGAAAATCGGCCGTTTGTCAAAATCGGCCACAAATTTTCCAACATGACCAAAAAAAAAAAAAAAATAAAAAGTGCAAAAAACCTGAAAAACGGCTGACCAATTAACCCACTAACAGTGCAAAAATCAGACGATTTTTTTTTTGCCTGAAAAAGCGGATGATTTTTGAACAGTCTATCTATGACCAGCATTTCTGCCCGATTTCTGCCCAATTAACTTTAGATTTACCATCAACTATGTAGTGCAAGGGCATGCCTAACTGGAAACAATTCAAAATGTTGTTTAGGTTTGACCTCATATTATATGGTTTGTGGTCAATCTAAAGCTAAATTCTCAGTAAAATCGTATAATGTATGGCCAGCCTAATAACGGCCCAGGCAAACCAGAAAAGAGAAATTTCTCACCTGGATTTGAAAAATGCCGTCTGGAATCTCCTAGGAGCAGCACTCCCACTCACAGCACCCTATAAACTGCCTTTCCTGTAAATCCTGTTCACATCACACATACTGTGTTTTGCAATGATTCAAGTGACTGTGAAGAGTCAGCATGTGCAGTCGTGTGACATGGGAAAGAGTACGAGAAAGCAGCTCTGAGCAACAAAAACACGTGTCAGAACTGGAGCAGACAGAATCCGGAGCAGATATGCAAAGCTCCTATCTTCAACTTGTTCAGTTAGGCTCCATTTAAATGTGCAACTAAACTCCCGTGCCTCTGAAAAGCAGTCTGTTTGGATTGCTTTTCAGAGGCATTTGACATTATTTGGATTGCTTTTCAGAGGCATTGTGTGATTACAGTGAAGCACACAGATACAAGTAAAATAGCACAGAGTTAACCCTTTGATCGCCCCTAATGTTAACCCCTTTTAGTACTGATCACTGTATTGGTGTCACAGGGATGTCAGTGACCCCAAGTTAGTTCCCCACAGTGTCAGAATGCCCACTGCAGTCCTGTCACCATTACTAGTAAAAATAAAAAATAATAATAATTAAAAAAAAACAGGCCATTCTTTGCGTTTTGACTCTGCGTTATTTTAACTGACAATTGTGTGGTCATGCAAATTAAATTTATGTCCCTTTTTTCCCCACGAATAGAGCTTTCTTTTCGTGGTATTTGATCGCCTGTGCGGTTTTTAATTTTTTGTGCTATAAGAAGAAAAAAAAAAAGGAAGACAATTTTGAGAAAAAAAACTATATGTTTTACCTTTTGCTATTAAACATATCCAGTAAAAAAAAAATTTTAAAAATCGAATTTAGTCATAAATTTAGGCTAAAAATGTATTCTGCTACATGTCTTTGCTAAAAAAAAAAAATCCCAATATGTGTAAATTAATTGGTTTATGTGAATGTTATAGCGCTTACAAATGGCGGTATAGATACTGGAATTTTATTTTTTACTAGTAATCAGCGACTTATAGCAGGACTGCGGTGGGCATTCTGATACTGGGGGGGGGGGGGGGGGGGGGGAATGACTTGGGGTCACTGACATCCCCAGTGACCGGCCAGATTGTTTATCTATACACGCCATTGCGATCTTTTTATATGTGTTTTACAATTTTTAATAAAGTCTCTGTGGAAGATTTTACACTATGTTGGATTCTCTACTTCTATTTCTTGTATAAATCTGATGGATGGATGAGCATTTGAGAGATTGCCAGTGTGAAGGTATTCAAGCACAATTTCTAAGGAATACTCTGGAGACCTCCACAGAATGACTATACCAAAGCACTCCATGACCTTTCTTTATCCAGATGGTCATGGTTATCTGGTGTAATCAGTGGAGGCACTTTCTAATTATCTTAGGATACCTCTTCTTCAGTCAGTTTTACCTTTAGATGTGGCTAAGTTTTCTCACTTTTAGTTTCTGGACACTTATCTTTTCACATTAAAAATGGTTTCACATTGGAACTTTTTATTTGGGATGATTTTTCATGTCATTTTGTATTTATGTTCATATTGTCATTTAATATAGAGCAGCACATTTTTCACACCATATGTTTCATAACGCCAATATCTCATAAGTATATCTTTTTTCTGTTAATATTTTGGCACACATAGGAGCTGTTTACATCTTTTATTAATATCCAGGTGGATGTTTACTTGTTTTTTCAGGACAGATTGGACTTTCATTTGCTGGTAAATGGAAATGGATATCTTTCGATTGTTCATTTTTGTTATTTATTATCATCCTACCTAATCCAACCAACACATTGACACTGACCTTCGAACCGGACCTCAACACTGACACTGACTTAGATCAAACCTTGATCAACCAATTTTTTCTTTTACACTTTAGGCACCGTTCACATCTGGTAATTTGGGATCACGAGTGGTATTGTCACGATTCTGCCCACAATTCCAAATCGCACTGTTATTAATTTTTAATGGCACACGATTTTCTTATCGTGTGTACGGGCCTTCAAGTTGGCCATAGATGGACTGATGGCTGCTTCCAGTTGACTGAGGTCAATTAGGATTGTTAGAAATTTTTTCTCAATTAGCAGCTGCAGCCCTTGATCAGTGAGAGTGTGTGCTGTCAGAATACGTCTCGACGGGGAGGATTCCTCTGTCTACCTTGATTGCATGGATGGAGAAATTTGTTTTTTTTTTTTTTTTTTATTTCAGCCTGCTGGCTGAATGAAAAATAAATAAATCAGTGTATGGCCAGCCTTATGCAGGCCATAGACTGTTCGTTTATCGGCCCTTCTGTTGCCACCAATGATTGCAAAAATCAGCCGTTTTTCGCAAATTTTCCAGCATGACCGATAGAGGAAATGAGGAGGAACCGCAAAAATCGGCCAAGGCCATTGCCCCACTAACAGTGCAAAAATTCGCCGATTATTCTGACAAAAAGATAGTCCGATAAACGAACCATCTATGGCCTGCATTAGGCCCCATTCACACCTGAGCATAGCGTTTCTGTGCATTTTTCCACACATTTATGAACATTTGTGTGCGGTTTTTTCAGGCGGTTTCAGGCGTTTTGATGTCTGACGTTTTGTATTAGCCAATAGAGAATAATTTCATCTCTGACATCAATTGCTACCATGCCTGAAAAAACTCTCTTGGTCGTGCAACAAACCACTTGATTTGCGGGTTTCTATGGGGCTGAAAACACATCAATCTGCCCAAATGGAGCTACAAAAGTGGCTCCAAAACTTTTCCGAGATTCAGGTGACTTGGAGTAGAGTGTGAACCATCTCCATGGAGTAATCTTGATTCTCCCTGAGCATTTTGGAGATTCATGCTACAAAATGCTCAGGTGTGAATGGGGCCTTGGAGATTGAACAGTATCTCATGTCACCGACAATGGCTCTTCACTTACCTCTATGGTTCAGCTTCAAATAACTGAAAAAGAGCAATTTATAGCAGAATACACCAACCCAATGCTGCAGAACTAGTTCCTCTTGTAGCATCAAATCACTTAATAGTGACAAATCGCTGGGGACTCCGCCCCCACACAGCCGCATCATTCATTCACAGGAGTCTGGGAATAGTAAAACTACAAGTCCCATCAACCCCCTACAGCAGGAAGGACTTGCAACTCTTAATGGAGAATAAGTGTGTTGACATCACTGCCCTTGTAGTCCATCCACACTTCTTCCAGCCCTCAAAACCAAAAGTATAGAACTGCAGCTGGAGGAATAGTCTGCAGGAGACAGAGCATTGCACCCATCATTTACTAATCTTGGCTTGCAATGCTTTGCAGACGCAAAAGATAATAAATGCACATTTTATTCATAAATACGGGTGCATGCATTTGTTTTTGCAGAAGGCTCTTTAAGCTCATTTAAAAATAAAAAGCCTATACATAGAATATATATCCTACTCCTAGGGAAGTAAGCAGTGTGTGCTCCTCCACATGGCTCTAGTGATGATGGGGGAGGTGATGACACAGGCTGATCACTTACCGGAGACAGTACTCCCCACGATGGCAGTGATCACCGTTATAAAAACACTCCCTATGCTGTGGAGGAGATCAGACAGTCGGTGACCCCTCCCTCCTCCTCCATACACATGGCTCCTATTATGTGCACACTTCCTGTTTATCTCCCCAATGGCAGCTCAGGGGCTTCTCCTGTCCGATCATTGCAGACACATTGTTCCATCCCCGGTCTGGTGTCACTACAACACGGACAGCCCCGTGCTCCCTCCCCTCCTGTCATCAGGACGATTCCCCATGAAATGTCTGCACAGTAATAGGGCCCGAGTTATGTGGCCTCCAGTCTCATACAGAGGGCCTGATCTGAATGTTTACTATCGCCTTCCAACTACTCGCATGGAAGCGGGCGAGAACCTTCCAATGAGCCGGACACTGGAGAGCCCCGGGGAGTCTACACGACCTCTACTCTCCCATACACATCAATGCTTTCTGTAAACACTGCCCCCTAGTGTGTGCGTGTGGGCGGTGCAGCGCACAGGACCAGAGTGCAATCCATGGCTGACACGGAAGAGGAAAACTTGCAGAGCCAAGTGAGTGCAGCATGGCTGAGACATTGGGGTTGTCGCCTCATACCCTGAAAACCGAGCACATATGAATTACACAGGTTCTGAGGCTAGTGTAATGCAGGTAAGGCACTCAGTGAGTTTAGTTACCACCTTAATCAGCCACACAACCTGTGTAATTAATGTGTTTAAAGGGGTGATGTGGCAACCCTAGGCAGCTGAATACATTATACTGCCAGAGGACTGGGCCTTTCCTCTACCTTGCTGGGCCTGGTTCTGTGTGAGACATACATATAGCTCGTGTGTTCGCTCAGATGTGCAGTGGGCTTACAGGAACAAGATATTAGGGCTGGGGTCATATATATATATATATATATATATACACACAATATTGCCAAAAGTATTGGGCCAGCCCTCCAAATCCTTGGATTCAGGAGTTCCAATCACCTCCATGGTCACAGGTGTATACAATCAAGCACCTAGGCATGCAGACTGCTTCTACAAACATTAGTGAAAGAATGGGTCGCTCTCAGGAGCTCAGTGAAGTCAAGCGTGGTACCGTGATAGGTTGCCACTTGTGCAATAAGTCCATCAGTGAAATTTCCTTGCTACTACAGTGAAGGAAATAAGTATTTGATCCCCTGCTGATTTTTAATGTTTGCCCACTCAGAAATAAATGATCAGTCTAAAAATCGAATGGTAGGTGTATTGTAACACTGAGAGACAGAATGGCAACAAAAAATGCAAAAGAAATGTATGTCTAACAAATTATGCACTGATTTGCATGTTCATGAGGGAAATAAGTATTTGATCCCCTATCATTCAGCAGGATTTCTGGCTACCAGGTGTCTTTCATACAGGTAACAAGCTGAGATTAGAAGCAGTCTCTTAAAGGGAGTGCTGCTAATTTAATTTTGTTACCTGTATAAAAGACACCTGTCCACAGATGCAATCAAACAATCAGATTCCAAACTCTCTACCATGGCAAAGACCTGTCCAAGGATGTCAGGGACAAGATTGTAGACCTACACAAGGCTGGACTGGGCTACCAAACTATCGCCAAGCAGCTTGGTGAGAAGGTGACAACGGTTGGTGCAATCATTTGCAAATGGAAGAAACACAAAACAACTGTCAGGCTCCCTAGGTCTGGTGCACCATGCAAGATCTCACCTCGTGGAATGTCAATGATATGAGAACAGTGAGGAATCATCCCAGAACTACACGTGAGGATCTTGTCAATGATCTACAGGCAGCTGGGACCACAGTCACCAAGAAAACAATTGGTAACACACACTACGCCGACAAGGATTGAAATCCTGCAGTGCCTGCAAAGTCCCTCTGCTCATGAAAGCACATGTCCAGGCCCGTCTGAAGTTTGCCACTGAACATCTGAATGATGCAGAGGAGGACTGGTTGAAAGTGTTGTGTTCAGATGAGACCAAAATCGAGCTCTTTGGCATCAACTCAACTCGTCATGTTTGGAGGAGGAGGAATGCTGCCTATGTCCCAAGAACACCATCCCATCTGTCAAACATGGTGGTGGAAACATTCTGCTTTGGGGGTGTTTTTCTGCTAAGGGGACAGGACAACTGCACTGCATTAAAGGGATGATGGACAGGGCAATGTACTGTCAAATCTTGGGTGAGAATTTTCTTCCCTTAGCCAGGGCATTGAAAATGGGTCGTGGATGGGTGTTCCAGCATGACAATGACCCAAAACACACGGCCAAGGCAACAAAGGAGTGGCTCAGGAAGAAGCTTATTAAGGTCCTGGAGTGGCCTAGCCAGTCTCCAGACCTTAATCAAATTGAAAATCTGTGGAGGGAGCTGAAAGTTCGAGTTGCCAAACGTCAGCCACCAAACCTTAATGACTTGGAGAGGATCTGCCAAGAGGAGTGGGCCAAAATCCCTCCTGAGATGTGTGCAAACCTGGTTGCCAACTACAGGAAACACCTGACCTCTGTGATTGCCAACAAGGGATTTGCCACCAAGTACTAAGTCATGTTTTGTGAAGGGGACCAAATACGTATTTCCCTCATGAACATGCAAATCAGTGCATAATTTGTTGGACATGCATTTCTTTTGAATTTTTTGTTGCTATTTTGTCTCTCAGTGTTGCAATACACCTACCGATCGATTTTTAGACTGGTCATTTCTTTGTGAGTGGGCAAACATTCAAAATCAGAAGGGGATCAAATACTTATTTCTTTCACTGTAAATATTCCATAGTCGCCTATTAGTGGTATTATAACAAAGTGGAAGCAACTGGGAACAACAGCAACTCAGCCACGAAGTGGTAGGCCACGTAAAATGATAGAGCGGGGGTATGCTGAAGTGCGCGGAAATCGCCAACTGTCTGCAGAGTCTATAGCTAAAGACCTCCAAATGTCGTGTGGCCTTCAGATTAGCACAATAACACTGTGTAGAGAGCTTCATGGAATGGGTTTCCATGGCCAAGCAGCTGCATCCAAGCCTTATATCACCAAGCGCAATGCAGAGCGTCAGATGCAGAGGTGTAAAGCATGCTGCCGCTGGACTCTAGAGCATTGGAGACGTGTTTTGTGATGTGACAAATCACGTTTCTCTGTCTGGCAATCCAATGGACGTGTCTGGGTTTGGTGGTTGTCAGAAGAACAGTACTTGCCTGACTGCATTGTGTCAAGCGTTAAGTTTGGTGGAGGGAGGATTATGGTGCGGAGTTGCTGTTCAGGGTTTGGGCTTGGCCCCTTAGTTCCAGTGAAGGGAACTCTTAAGCTATCAGCATACCAAGACATTTTGGACAATTTCATGCTCCCAACTTTGTGGGAACAGTTTGGGGATGGCCCCTTCCTGTTACAACATGACTGCGCACCAGTGCACAAAGCAAGGTCCGTAAAGACATGGATGAGTGAGTTTGGGGTGGAGGAACTTGACAGGCCTGCACAGAGTCCTGACCTCAACCTTATAGAACACCTTTGAGATGAATTAGAGCGGAGACTGCAAGCCAGGCTTTCTCGTCCAACATCAGTGCCTGACCTCACAAATAAGCTTCTAGAAGAATGGTCAAACATTCCCATAGACACACTCCTAAACCTTGTGGACAGCCTTCCTAGAAGTTGAAGGTGTTATAGCTGCAAAGGGTGGGCCAACTCAATAATGAACCCTATGGACTAAGAATGGGATGCCATTAAAGTTCATATGCGTGTAAAGTCAGGCGTCCCAATACTTTTGGCAATATAGTGTGTGTAATATATATATCTCAAACGTAAGTACAGTAAAGCCTTGGATTGTGAGCATAATTTGTTCCAGAAACATGCTTGTAGTCCAAAGCACTCGTATATCAAAGCAAATTCCCCCATAAGATATAATGGAAACTCAGGTGATTCGTTCCACAACCATTTATACATTTAAAAAAATTATTACAGTATTACAAAATACTGTACAGTATAAAGTAAAAATAAAACAAATTAACACTTTACCCTTGAAAAGATATGTGGCTGGTGTGAGGGAAACGAGAGGAGAGGAGGAGGGTTATTGTGTAGGACGTCTATCACCAACGGGATCACTGCTATTTGTTCGCTCACTGGAATCTTTCTTTTTGTGCAACTTTAACAAGGAACCTATCCAATGACACTTGCTTTTGCCTTCCTTTTGAGGATTTGGCAGAAATGTGACATCGCTTTGTCATTAAACAGATTTATCGTTCGCACTGTTGCAGCATTATTCGGGTGGTGCTTTTCTACAAAATTTTGCACTGTCCCACATTTTGCACATCTCCCTAATCTCATTTGAAGTGAGGGATTTTTCTGCCTTTTTATCCTCCTCTTCAGATGAGATCTCCTCCATAACCTCTTGCTGTTGTTCACAATGCAGATCCATCAGTTCATCGGTGGTCAACTCCTGGCCATGTTCCTCCACCAGCTCTTGAATGTCTTCCTCATTCACCTCCAGTCCCATGGTCTTCCCCAAGGAACAATTTCATCGACAACTAGCGGCTCCTGTTCCTGAACAAACCCCTCAAAGTCATGCCCAAGAGCACCATCAGGCCACAGTTTTTTACAAGCAGAATTGAGGGTTCTCTTGGTGACCCCATCACAGGCTTTATCAGTGATCTTGAGGCAGTTCACGATGTGGAAATTATTTTTCCAAACTCTCGGAGGGTAGGGTTTGTTCCTTCTGTCACTTCGAAGCATAACTGAAATAGTGCTTTGATGTAAAGCTTTTTAAAGTTGGAATTGACCTGCTGATCCATGGGCTGGAGTAGTGGAGTGGTGTTAGGAGGAAGGAAATTGACCTTAATTAACTCAAATTCCTCCAGTAAGTCATCCTCAAGGTCTGGAGGATGAGCGGGAGCATTATCCATTACCAGCAAGACTTTGAGTGGCAGATTCTTTTCTAATAGGTATTTCTTTGTGTGCTGAGATGAGTGACTCCCATGCATGCACCTTCGTGAAGTCATCCTATGCTGGCCAATCATGGAAGCCAAAGATCTGCAGCTGACAGAAGCCAGAGAGAATATGCTGCTGAAGTGCTGCTTCAGGTTCCTTTCAGTGCTGTTTAAAGCAGTGTGGAGCAGCATTTTCTCCAAGGTAACCTAAATACTCATATTTGAACCAGCCTATTGTACTTTATCTATACCAAGAATAGGTAACACTTTTTTCCATTTTTTTTATTTTTAGATTGATGAGATTGAAGCGTTATCTTCCATCTATGGAGATGATTGGTGTGTAATCGATGAAGCTGCAAGAATATTTTGCATAAAAATCTCCAACTCACTTGATAAACCAGAATGGACGCTTTGCTTGCAGGTAATAAAGGATAAGTTGTGATTCATAGATGGTAGTGTGATTGCATGATTATTTAGCAATATTTATTTAGGAAATGTAGTTCAATAACATGTAGTAGCCAATAAATCCAGCAGCATATCAAAACCCAGTTTAATATATTGCAATTTATCAATCCTTAGATGTGTTAGCTGCATTATTTTCCCTTTTTTATGGCTTTTTTCCTCTGTTTTCACCTGGTGATTCTGCAAGTAACACACTTCTGTCCTAAGCTGACAACGCTCACTCACTGCACTGTAACTATGGAGGAGCAGCGATGTCACCTAAGGCTGCTCCCCTGATTTCAACTACAAACATGCCCCCTCCTCTCTTCCATTACATAGGCAGGGGTTGTTTTTTAGTTTACAGAAGATACCTGGGAAAATTGATTATATTGTTTGAGATAGCAGCTTCCTGTACAGAAAGTTACAAGAACACTGGAAGTCTGGCAAGATCAACAGGTATGTTTCTATGCACAAAATGTACTTTGTCTGCAAAAAAGAATTGCATCCACTACATCGAAGGACTTGTAAGCTGCAATGCATTCAATTTCCATTTTTGGGTTTCCATATCCTTTAAATTAGAACTTTTTTTTTCATTTTGGAGTAGGGGAGGGTTATGACCCCTGTCATTTCCACCCCACATGTCCCATTGTGGAGGTCTACCTTCACTTCCTGTCCCATAGCCAGAACAGGAAGTAAGAGGAAATCCTTGGTTGATGAGGTTATCCCTGGGTGTCACTGAAACTAGTGTCCCCATTGGAAGATTTCCCTCTATTCTTGTTCTGGTGGCTCAGAATTTGGTATTTTCCTTCACTCTCAGTAATAATGCTAAACAAAATGAATAGAGAGGGTAAATTTCCCTAGCAAGGACACAGCAATAAACATCTGGCAGGTGTTCTAATCCTTCTCCACTCTATCCAAAACTAAAAAAAAGTTTGGGCTTTAGTTATTTTTATGCATAGCACGTCCTTTCTTCTAGTTTTGGGCACAAGGCCTTCTCAAATTTTCAGGGAACAGAAACAAATTCTTTTTTTCTTTTTTTTTTATTATATCAACTCTGGTCTGGTGTAAACACAGAGCTGTGCTTTGAGCTATTCACTCACTTCATATGAACAGCACTGACACGTTCACTGTCATTCTCTTCTTTTTTGTATGTTCTTATAGGTTGGGTCAACTTGTATAGTACAATGTTGAAATGACAGAACTTGGCACCAATTTCACGTTGGTAAATAAAGATTTGTTATACAGCAAGCATGTCTGGGTTTTGTTTCTACAACCCAATCTGACCTTTTTAAGAATGTCTGAGTGTAATGAGACATAGGACTCGGCGGTTCGTATCCAAAGCTAGGTTCACATCTGTGCATGTCAGGAACACGTGCAAAACCCGTGGTTTCCTGTCATGCACAGAAATGCGCTGCACTTTACAAAACACCCAGGGTTATTGGCACCCCCATGCGTCTGCAAACATACACTTTTTTTTTTTTTTTAAAGCGCCAGGAACTACTTTTTTATGTTTCTCATGCATAGGGCAGACCTTTGAAATAAATGGGCTGCCCTACACGCGACTAACAGAAATGCATGTGCACCTGCAGTAGTGTGAACCAGGCCTAAGGCCCCTTTCACAGTGGTGGTCACATGGACAGATCTGCTTGTCAGTTTTCTTAGGCTGACATAATCAGAAGCTAAAATCTATTCGCAGCCCAGAAAAAAAAATTATAAAGGTTTGCATCCTTTTTTTCAGTTTTTCAGACCCAAGTATGACAGGTCTAAGGTAATTATATGTAAACTACTGTAAGTCTACTTAGATCTGACCACCAGTGGATCTAAAATAGGTCTGGAAGGTTCTGGTTTTTAAAGCATCTAAAAAAAAAAAACAAACAGATGTAAAAAAAAGTGACATTCTTTCCTTTCAATTCTGTTCACAGGTCCTCTGCTGATCAGACTGGACACAGTCTGTGTGAAGGAGGTCTATAAAGAGAGTGGTGGTGGGGGGGGGGGGGGGGGGGGGTAAAAGGGGGAAGTTTGGTGAACAAGTGGATCAATTTAAGCATTGTATAACTTGTAGACAGATCAGGGATTTCATTGTTTAACAGTTCAACCATTTTATTTAAGGTGTATTAGCTATCCTATTTCCCGTGCATGATCATGGTAGTATTTGAGGAGTACCATGTATCCATGCAACCTAAATGTTATAGAATTTGTCATATTGGTTGTAACCAAAGTGAACCCATCTCTCCACTTTATACTCTACTCTATAATGTTGTTCACTTTTTGTATCTATTCTGGGATCAATGGTATTTTCACTGAAAATAGATTAACCCCTTTGCCGCATGAATTAGGTGGAGGGAGACCCTGCTTTTGCATTTCTTTGTAAGAATTGGCAGGTGGTTGTCTGATAGGTGCTCACCTGTAATGTTCTCTGTTAGCTGATCTATGGAGTCCCAATGTGGTTTGATTTTGGGATATTCCCATGATATGTGGAAGAACGTGCTTCATTGAGCACATCCCACCCACAAGATGACATGGATAGCTAAGGAGATGCATTCTGACTTTATCAAGACCCTGTATCATCTTGTGAGCAATTTTTAACAGGACTCCTGAGTTGGGGAATGTAGGGATGACCATCATGCACTTCTATGGTGAACACAGCCTCTAATGTGATTGTACCTTACATCAGCACTGCAATGAAAGGAATACTTTACCTCTGTTTCTGTACATTAAAACCTGGATTCATCCAAAAGATATGTAAGGGCAGATGCGGGGCGGCACAGTGGCTTAGTGGTTAACACGTCTGCCTTGCAGTAAACCCACATGGGTTCGATTCCAGACCATGGCGCCTCCTTCATGGAGTTTGCATGTTCTCCCTGTGCTTGTGTGGGTTTCCTTCGGGTGCTCCGGTTTCCTCCCACACTCCAAAGACATGCTAGTAGGTTAATTGGATCCTGTCTAAATTAGCCCTAATATGTGTATTTATGAATGTGAGTTAGGGACCTTAGATTGTACACCCCTTCAGGGTTAGGGACTGATGTGAATGTTCAATATATAAATATGTGTGTGTAAAGCGCTGCGTAAATTGACAGCGCTATATAAGTACCTGAAATAAATATACACTAGTAAATATGTGTCAGCGTGGACTTGAACAGGCCTTACAGTAGTGTCTGAGATCTTTTTGCAATTGGGCATGTTAGCTTGTACATGGTAGATTTCAAATTGAAAAGTTTTAATTGGTTAGATTGATCCTATCAGTAGACCTATCACAAACATAGGCAATTAAAGTTAAGGTTACCTTCAGTGAAAACCATGTCAAAACAATCCCCAGAGATATAGACAGCTTAAGTTATATGCAAGTCTTAAATATTCCTGGAACAGACAAGCATGAGACCACCCATCACATTTATTGAATCTGTCTATTAGCCTTTATTGTTATGCGCAGTCTCAATAACCAACAGCCAAATAAATGGGGTGAAGGGCAGAGCAACCTCAACTTTTATAGGAACATATATAAATGTTCCTGCCTATTTCTTTGGATGCTAGTTTTTTACTGAAGGTAAGCTTTGAATATTCTCTTTTATTTTCATTAGATGCTCAGTTTGGATGGCCCAGCTTTCTCACAGCTTTACTTCAATGATGTGTTTTGAGACAGGAAAAGGCACAGCAATGAAAATGTATCCTGCATCCCCCAAGTCCAAAAAAGTTGGAACATTGTACAAAATCTACATACAAACAGAATGCAAGCAGCTGCAATATTTTTAGAATAAGCAGGGTACCATCTATTTATAAAACAAGCAGGGTGCCATCTATTTATAGAACACGCAGGGTACAATCTATTTATAGAACACGTAGGGTACCATCTATTTATAGAACACGTAGGGTACCATCTATTTATAGAACAAGCAGGGTACCATCTATTTATAGAACAAGCAGGGTACCGTCTATTTATAGAACAAGCAGCGTAGCATCCTATTTATAGAACAAGCAGGGTACCATCTATTTATAGAACACACAGGGTACCATCTATTTATAGAACACACAGGGTACCATCTATTTATAGAACACGCAGGGTACCATCTATTTATAGAACACGCAGGGTACCATCTATTTATAGAACACGCAGGGTACCATCCATTTATAGAACAGCAGGGTACCATCTATTTATAGAACAAGCAGGGTACCATCTATTTATAGAACAAGCAGGGTACCATCTATTTATAGAACAAGCAGGGTACCATCTATTTATAGAACAAGCAGCGTACCGTCCATTTATAGAACACGCAGGGTACCATCCATTTATAGAACAAGCAGGTACCGTCCATTTATAGAACACGCAGGGTACCGTCCATTTATAGAACACGCAGGGTACCATCCATTTATTAAACAAGCAGCGTACCATCCATTTATAGAACAAGCAGCGTACTATCTATTTATAGAACAAGCAGTGTACCATCCATTTATAGAACAAGCAGGGTACCATCTATTTATAGAACATGCAGCGTACCATCCATTTATAGAACAAGCAGGGTACCATCTATTTATAGAACAAGTAGTGTACCATCTGTTTTAAAACAAGCAGGGTATCATCTACTTATAGGAGAAATTGGGTACAATCTATTTATAGAACAAGCAGGTGAAATCTCTTTATACGTTGTATAATATGTCAAATGATATTAAAACTGATTCATTGTCTTGCATTTTTAAACTCGAAACAAATGCAATCTTTTTTCTTCTCAGATGAGAAGATATGAAGTTGATAATTAGTTAGAAGCATCATCACCTTTTTTCTTTGCTTTATATTTCACATTCTGATTATATGTTTGTTCTAGGTAATTCTACCCCCAGAATACCCAGCTACCGCACCACCGCTTTATCAGCTAAAGTAAGTTCCACATACTTCTTTGAATGTCACATAAAAAGAGTTTTCAACAATTTTAGCTACAGATTCGATGGAACCCGGCCATGGCAGCATACAGTAATTACATTAAGTCTCATTCGCAAGGAGCATTAGGGTTATACACTGCCAGATCAGTGTATTTCTGTGGAGGGTGTGGACATTTATCCATAGGTAGAATCTCACAAAGCAATCACACATGGAATAATTTTACCTGAGGTAAGGGATCGTTTTGAACCCCTGGATGTCAATATCCACTGCACATGTTGGTCCCTAACCACAGGTAATATCTCCATTTGCAATTACATACAGATAGCTGCGGACAACCACAGATTATCAGCCTGTCATTGATTTATACAGGCTTACTCTCCACAGCTGAACAGAAATACCTACTGTAACCATAACCACCACAGAAATACGCTGATCTGGGCAATGGTACAGCTTCAAACACACTAGTTACATGTAATGATATACATTACCTTAAGCTGGCTGCTTATTTTAAAAATCCTCCCTTTGGTGTCTCCTGCATAGCCGCTGGATATTGCCCTGACCAGCTGTTTTCCAGTGCTTTAAGAGTTAGAAACACAGATGCTACTAGTCTGAAAGGTTGTGCTGCTCACCTTCATCTGCCCTTACTGCCATTCACAAAATTCCTATTCATTCCCACAATGCTTCCTGTTCTGTGAATAGCCAGTGGAGATACTGTCATTCAACTGCTCCTCCTCCATTCACAGAACAAGGTGCATTGTGGGAATATAATAATATGGTTTTGTGAATGGCCAAGAGGACAAAGGAGGGGGGAGAGTGGTCAAACCGAGCAACCCTCCAAACTAGCAGCGGCAGCTGTTAACTCTTCCAGTGTCGGAAGATGGTTGCACAGGGCAATATCTGGCAGAAATTAAGGAGGCACTAAAAGTAGAATTAAAGACATAACTTTTCTTTAATTTTGAATAAAGGATTGTTATAACCTCTGTCAGTTTTTTTGTCCCATAGCCAAAGCAGGATGTGAGAGGAAATCCCTTCATTGGAATATATCCCCTCTGTTCTGATGACAACCTAAAATTTTAGATTTTCATTCACTTTCATTGTCAGTGACAACAGTAAACAGGACAAATAGAGTGAATAGGTGAATTTCTCTAACAGGGGCACAGACAGCAATAAAAACCTGAGGTTGTCATCCATCTTCACTCTGTCTAAAACTAAACAGGTTTTACCTTTTAGTTATAATTGATGGAAAGATTTTAACAAGAAACAGCAGCCTGCAGGTCAAGGGATACACACAATCAGATATAACTATTGTGTTTGGTGCTGCTCCCTTATGTATTATTTCTGTCTTAATGTGTCAGATCATATTTCTGTTCTAAAAAGATTTGGGCTGATATACAGTACCTGTATCTCTTCTGTCCTACAGATTGGGAAGGGGGAGGAACATCACTTCACTGTGATCATTCATACATAGGGCAACATTAACATATCTAACATAAAATAAAAATTGGGTTTTTTGCCATTTTCCAAACCTGAAAGTAATCTGGATTTCAATGTTGTGAAGAATGTTTAGTATTTTGTATATAATATTTTTATATACTTACAATATTGATATCCAAATGTAAAGCAATAAATAACATACTGTATCCTTATTGTGTGTATTTCTAGTGCTCCATGGCTCAGGGGTGAAGATCGAATGACATTATCAAATTATCTTGAAGACATTTTCCTGTGAGTGCCAGGAGCATGTATGTTTATTATACATTTTACGCTTCTGATGGTCATGTTATCTTCCAAACAGAATTCTTACATCATTAAATTATACTAAACCATGATTTTGTAAGCAGCATGCTTGTGTTTAGAAATTGAAGGTGAATGTTTGTATATGGATTCACTTTAGCTGTAAAGTTCAGTTTAGTGCTCTGCAGATTAAAGAGGTTTGCAAGTGAAGGTTACACTTCCAACTTCTGACCATTTGTAATTTGCAACTGTGATTTCAGATTTTAACTGTGGTTAAAGTTGTATTAAACCCAAAACCAAAAATATAATATATTTTAGCCTACCAATTATTAAATGAGGTGGCTTCATTAGTTTTCTTTTTAAGCTTCTCCCCTTCTGCTTTCACCGATGATCTGCCCAGTAACACACCTCCTGTATTAGCATGCCTACACTCTGGGTGAAGGAGCACAGGGAGCACCTTTTGTACAGCAGCATTGTCAGTCTGGGAGGGAGAAAGTTGAATGTACTAGCAGATTTATATACACTAGCAAATTGAAGCCAAACTTCAGCTTCCACTTTATAAGCTGTTATAGCAAACCTTTTTTTCTTTAGCAGACACAGAACAGACTATTCATGACTATGTGGGTTATATGACACCTATAGGTGAATGGACAATGGCTAACCAATCAGAGAAGAGGTCCTCTCTTATAAAACCCCTCCTACACAGGAAGCACTTTCAGTTTTTTTGTGCTAGTGTCTGTAAGGTAGATGGTCACTGAAAGTGTTGCTTGTGCTCCTGGAGCATACCTAAGGTCTAGTACGGTTCCTTTGAGAATCATGGACTTGGATCCATTCGAAAAGCTGTGAGCCAATATGGATGGGACCGGAGCCTCACTGGATAAGGAGAAGAATCCTCTGGATTTTGCCTGTAATGCAGCCTTATAGCGCTCGACCCCACGTAGATGGAACCCTGTGCAGTTTTAAATCTGATCAAGGCGCTTTCCAGCGGGTCCGAGGCAGTGGACCCACAATATGGGGACCAGGTCCTTGAAAGTCTGTATGACAATACCCGCTGTGATGGGCGAAGGTTGGTGCCTGGCAGAAGTCAGGGACCTGCGGCGGGACTGGTAAGCTATATCTTTTTTTCTCTCTGTAAGAAAAAAAACAAAAAACAAAGTTTAAATATAGAGGGAAAAGGAGAGGTATTGTTTGTTTGGCCAAAGTTTCCACCATGGGGAGTGCTCACAGCATTTTAGCCCAGGACATGCTTGCCTGTTTCTGCTTTTGCATCATGATAAGGTGGTGTTGCGACCTCAACCGACTTTTTTGTACCAAAGGTGGTTTCTAGTTTTCATCTCAATCAGGACATCGTTCTTCCTTCATTCTTCCTTAGGCCTCAGTCAGCAAGAGAAAGATCTCTGCATACCTTGGATGTAGTATGCGCTGTAAGGGTCTTCTTGAAGGTGACAGCACAAGTCAGGAGGTCAGATGCTCTGTTTTTGCTGCCAGAGGGGCCTAGGAAAGGGCAGACGGCATCCAAGGCAACTATTTTACATTGTATCCAATTGATCATTCAAGCCTATGGTTTGAAAGGTAATGTCCCACCCTTCGGGTGAAGGCACACCCTACCAAGAGTGTGTGGGCATCTTGGACAATCCGCCATCAGGCATCAGTGACTCATGTTTGCAAGGCCACTTGGTCTTCGGTTCACACATTCACAAGGTTCTATCAGGTTTATGTCAAAGCCGCAGATGATTCTGCTTTTGGCTGTGGTGTTTTACAGATGGCTGAGTAGGTTCTGAGGGATTATTGATGATGACTATGATGGTGACACCCTCCCCTTAGATTTCTTTATTGCTTTTAGGACATCCCACATAGTCATATGAAAAACTGGATTTTTCCACATACGTACCTGTAAAATCTATTTCTTGGAGTGCATCATGGGACACAAAGGTCCCTCCCCTCTTTCTGGCATTTCATTGCTTGCTACAAAAACTGAAGTACTTCTTGTGTAGGAGGGGTTATATAGGGGAGGACCTCCTCTCTGATTGGTTGGCCATTCACCTATAGGCGGCATATAACCCACATAGTCATGAATAGCCTGCTCTGTGTCCCGTGATGTACTAGAAGAAATTGATTTTACAGGTAAGTAAAAAAATACAGTTTTTTTCCTTTTGGAATAAAGGTTTTACATAAATAAAAGTTGATCATTGTTAGCACACCTGTCAGTAGTAAATAGTTTGTCTCAACCCTCTAACCTTTACATCTTCAGGCCAGCTTGTTCTGTTCTAAAGAGCTTTAATGACCAAAGAAGGAATACACTGCTGTATAAAGGATTCAATATTCTTGCTCTCTAAATAAATGGCTAATATTTTCAAAATGTTCTGGAATACTTTGAAATGCTATTTTGTGCCTATAGGCAAAATCTTGGTGACAGCATCCTTTATCAGTGGGTGGAGAAGATCAGAGAATTCTTGGTGGAGAAATCTAAGACTTCTGACTCAGGTTGGTATATGGTTATGTCCTTTAAAAAAAAAAAAAAAGTAAGAGTCCATTAATAAGAAGTACTTTAGGTTTTTCTTTGTTTTTTTTTACATAAATAATTTGTATTTTATTAATTTTCTTATACACATTTAAACTCTTCTTATATTTTGTAAGTAGCAGCAATGTCTGAGCTTGGAGCAGTCACAGTTTGCTGAGTATCACATGGATAGTTCAAGTCAAATCAGAACCATATTAACATTACCAGCTTACATGAGGCCAGAGGGGTTCTGATGCAATAGCTTGAACGTGACCAGTGCTTCTATCAATGCTAAGCTTCAGAATCCATGTCACAAAAAACAAATAAGGCCATGGCATAAGTGTGTTATGATGCAAACAATAGATTAATGTCGTTTCACAAAAGAAAGTAAAACCTTGTTGAGAGAAGCTACAAAACATAATAGCATGTTCCAGATGTTGTTTGGTAATAAAGACATAAATCATCTTCTAAAAACAGAATAATTGCATGTTGCTGTGGAACAGGCTTTAGGGCTGGTTCACACACCAGAGCACGGTACGGAAAACCTGCGTTCCTGCATGTTTCCTGCACCACATTCAAAACGCACTGCAATTACAATCTGCAACAGGTGTCAGTGTTAATGTCACCTCATACGCAGTGTGTTTGCTTGCACTGGATGCATGGTACAGTAGTACTGGTTGCTTTGTGCTTTGTAAAGTAGCGTGGTCTGACACGATTTCAGTCCATTTAAATGAATGGGCTGAAATTGCACTCTACCCGGATTGTATGTGAATCACACGGAAAGGCACAGTCCTTTTGTGATTCATGGTGTGCGGCCTTCAAGGATAGAAAACAACTGCCACATTTTATCTACAAAATTGCCTTAGCTGGTCCTTTACAAAAATCTGAGGACATACAGAAAAAAGAGATTTTAAATGAGTGAGATTACATAGGCCTTTATGTATTCATTCCCCTATGTACGTACCTTAATCGTTTGTTCAGTAAGGTCCAGCAAACTGCAATAGTAATGTGCAAAGGGCAGTAACAAAGAGCTGTTGGTTGGACTCTATTGCAATGGTTTTTGGTTGTTGAGGGTTACGGCTAGACATATACTGTAGCTGTCTAGGAAAATTTTTAATTCTTCCTCAAGTGAATTTATTTCAACAGTATGTTTTTTTTTTTTTTTTTTTCTCTTTTTTTTTTTTTAATGCAATAAAGACCAAAACCTTATTTTGACAGGTCCAACATTGAAAGTTGCAACAGAAGAAACCGAGGCTGATGATGATGATGAACTATTAAATGACTTGTTTGCTAACGCAGCTGTCATTGGACATTTAGATGCTTTTGAAGGTACTTTCTGATTTATATGTATCTAATGCTAGTTCTAGACAGAAGACAGCATTGCCTCAAAGGCAACTGCTCCAGTCGGATCATACAATGATGGTAACAATACATAAGAAGAGGTAACACTCACTTTATATTTTCCTCTTTTTACTGTGCATTCCAAAAGTAACTGTACTGAGCTTATATTTAGGTGAAAAACTGAGCACAAAAACAAATAATGTGATTGCAAATTACTTTTATTCTGTTATCTTTTTTTTTTTCGCTTATGCAAAGGAGGAGAGATGTAGGCTTACACAGGGATCATTGATCTCTATACAGTAACATAACATTAGACACACAGACAGTGAACATTGGATGCTTTTGCTAAACAAGTCTGTTTTTTTCCTAATCTGTGTCAATATGGTTTTTATAAAAAGATGAATAGCTAGAAAGATGTCCTTCCCACATATTCCTGCTGCAAGTATTTTAATGATGGGGATTCCCCAGACTTAGAGGTTGATTTACTAAAGGCAAACTGTGCACTCTGCAAGAGCAGTTGTTCCAGAGCTTAATAAATGAGAAGAAGCTCTGCTGACGGCCATCATCCAATCATGTGCAAGCAAAAGTGATTTTTTTTTTTAATTTTCCTTGCACGTGATTGGCTATTTCTTGCAAAGTGAATCTTTATCTCATTTACAAAGCTCTGGAGAAATTGCACTTGCAGAGTGCAACTGCACCTTTGTATGGTGCACAGTCTATTTGCCTTTAGTAAATCAACCCCTTAGTGTGCTTTGATAGTAAGTATTGGTACTGTGAAGAAAAAGAGTCTCTGGACAAATGAGGTAACTGAACCAGTGATGTAAAAAGCACTCTGAAACCTGAATTTTAGGTGCATATAAAAAAAAAAAAACATTTTAATGTACTTCTGTACTCCTTAAGAAATATAAACATATTTCTATATAGTCTATGGATCAGTAGATAAATATTTAATGAGGGATAGTTACTAAAACTGCAAGGTACAAAATTGTGTGCAGCTCTGCAGAGAATCCAATCGGCTTCCAGGTTTTATTGTCAAAGCTTAAAGAGTAACACCACTTTTGTTGAGAAAAAAACATTCCCCTCTGGGCGATCTATACACATTGCAAAGTTTTTAACAAGCTTTGTTGCAGAGTCCTACCTTTTTTTATTCTAAAGGAATAGCTGTTTGTCTTGTGTCCATGTCAAATGTGAATCTGTATGGGAGCGACTTTATAATTATCAGTCAGCTCCTGCACCTGCATGACTCTGAGGAAAATTGCAGGGTCGGCATCCCTTTAGACGTGATTTCCATTTTGGAGTTTCTCACCAAAAATGACATTTTTGTTGCAGGGGATGCCAAAAATCAGACTTATAGCTATGTGCAGACTTCTGGTAAAATCAGTAAGCCAATCACACAAGCAGGAAATGACATTTTCAGGGTGTGTGTACAGAATGCCTCAGGTAGGTGTATTGTATTGCATTTTCCAGAAAATTACAGCTCTGCAGATTGAAAAGGAAAGGTCATTTTTAATAACATTCAATTACAATATGACTTGAGTCACAATTGTATACGCTATATTCTTCTTTTTTTTTTTATTTGCTAATTTTGTCGAGATACCCTTTAATTGAACAAGCTAACATTAGAAGCGAGTGTCTACCATGCACAACTGCAGCAGATTTTGAGTGCACCAGTTTTAGTAAATCTCTAGCACTGTATTTATATTGGCATGCTGTAATTCCCCAAACAGTCTAAGATAAGGAGGGGAGGAAGCACTGTAAGCCAAGCAAGGCTCTATTGCATTGGATACTGCTCTGAGTCTAAAAATGAACGTTTGATGAGAGGGTGGGGCAGCAAAGGGATGACCATATCGGTGTGCTGCTGCTCTTTCATTGCCCCATTACAGGCAGGAGGTGGGTTTGTATCCAAGCTTTTAGCGCTTACCTGTTTCACTGCCACCAGCATAATACTTGTGTTGGCAGTAATGGAGGTGGGTGCTTACACATGTCCTACAGCAGCTGAGAATGCAAGTAAATTTCACAAGACAAATATCTGCTTTCAGATGGAAGTGATCTGGCTGCTCCCATGCACCTCTGAACCCTGGACCAGCAGAGACATGGCATCTTGTCAAACTTTAGCCCTTTATGCCCAGCCCTGGTGTCCTTATAGCAGGGTCTTTATGCCCAGGGTGTGGGAAGGACTGCTCAGTCATGTGACCACTGTGATTGGCTGCCACATTGGTCACATGATTAGTAACTGGTTCCGCCGGCTCACAATCTTTACTAGACAGCTCAGTCACTCTGCTGGGAGCATGCATTGAGGTTAAACAATACGTAAATAATGTCCACAGTCTGGGCAAATTTTTGTTTTAAAGTTGAATGCTAGTATGCATTCAAAAGTGTTGTATAGTTGATCCTCCAGCACACACACAGCAAGGGTTAACTGTTGTTTAGTCCACGGGGTATGGAATTGGAAGATATTCCTTATGCCTCACTCCTACAGGTTTCCTCCCTGGACGTATTTCCTCTTATTCCTTTCCCCTAGCAGGTAGCTACCTTCCTATGCAAGTGGGGGGCGGAGGCAACTAAATGTCAAGTTGTTATATATGAGGTTTTAGTGGTTGTTCATAGATAGCTACATTATAATCTCTTTGCTCTTACTAGTACAACTATATTTTGATTGCTTCATTTTAAATTATTTTGTAGACACTGAAAGAGAGGTTCCGGCGATAGTACATGGTTTACCAATAAGTGACAGAAGAAGTACGTTCCAGGCACATTTAGCTCCAGTGAGAAGCCCTGCTCAGGTGAGTATGATAAGAAACGTTTCCTTCTGTTTTCATTCTTTAGTCTCGAAGTCTGTATGACATTACTGCAATAACATGATTCTTCAGTTTGCTGAACAAAAGATACAATCGTCTGTTCACAGTGCCATGGGTGTTTATTGTACATGATTTTTTTTTTTTATTTCATCTCTTGATAGTTTTTGCACCAATTATTTCAATTCAAAATATCACATTAGATGAATAGATGAAGGAACAGTTAAAACCCCTGTAATTGTTTTTTAAGGTGATCCTTCATACTTTTTCAATCATACTGCCACAAGCAAATCTGTATGCTTTCAGGGACATATGCCCAGAACGCAGAATACCTGCTTTCCAGGCATATGTCCCTGAAATTAGCCCAAAAAGCGAGTACCACATGGTACCATGTTCAGCTGCTGCTTATTTCAAGTGGTTGGAAAGCTAGAAGGCTTTTACCTTAAAATTTAAAATTTTATTTTTATAAAATAACAAATGTCATACCTGATCTGTACAATGGTTTTGCACAGAGCAGCTCCAATCATTCTCTTCTGGAATCCACTGCTGGCACTCCTTACCCCTTTCCTCCCCGTAGAGTGGCCACCATAGCAAGCTGCTTGCTATGGGAGCACTCAGGCGGGTTTCCTCCTGAGCCGCACTCTGTTTCCAGCTCGCTCCCGAGCCATGCTCTGTGATTGACATTAGCAGGAGCCAATGGCTCCCACTGCTATGTCTGAGCCAATGAAGAGGCAGAGAGAGCCTTTTCTCTCAAGCACATCGCTGAATCGAGATCGGCTCAGGTAGGTATAAGGAAGGGGGGTGGCAGAAGAAGCTGCATGCAGCAGGTTTTTTTACCTTAATGCAGAGAATGCATTAATGTAAAAAATCTTTCTGCCTTTAGAACCACTTTAATGCTTTCTCTACATTATAGGTAAAAACCCTTCTGTGTGCCCTCCCTTATACTTATCTGAACCTGATCTTGATCCAGCACTGTGCACAAGAGTAGCTGCTCTCTCCCTCCTCATAGGCTCAGAGACAGCAGAAGGATCCATTGGCTCCTGCTGCTGTCAATTACAGCCTGTGAGGAGAGGGGGGTGTCACACAGAGGTGGCTTGGGAGCAAACCCTCAAGAGTGCCCCAGTAGCATGCGGCTTGCTATGGGGACAGTCATAGGTAGGTGGAGCCAGGAGCACTGGCCGGGGACCCGAGAAAAGGAGGACCAGAGCTGCTCTCTGTGAAACCATTGCATAGCGTGGTTTCACACAGAGCATGAGGGCTTGATATGCATGAGGGCTAATCAAGGAATGTCAGGACATTTTTCTTGGTTGGAATAACAATATCTTTGGGTATCTTCACACATGCAGTCATGGAAAGGGAGTGGGGGGTCAGTAAAAATTGGTCAGTTGAGCTGTGGTTTTATTGCCTCCCAACACATGGTGTAGCCGGGAAGTCAAGTTTGGTTGGTTCTCTTGCTAGCATACACAAAGTCTTTTAGGTAAGTATTTTGTGTTATGGACTAATAGCTGTTTTTTTTATAAGCAGAACCTTTTTATCCTAGAAGCTTGTTAATGCACACGTTTTGTAGAGACATGCTGTAATTACACAGGGCATGGATGCAAATATATAAGGACCTTTCAGAAACCAAAAATGCAGGGTGAACATCAATGGCACTAAAGAAAACTGTTATAATACTTTGTGCTTTCTTTGGATTAAACATTGCTAAAAATGCAATACCAAAAATAAAAAACAAAATCTCTTAGCAACAAGGCTGGTTAAATCTGGAAAATCTATAATTCTGCACTATTTGACTCTGCACTATTTACATGTCGATCTGTCTGATCAGCAGAGAATTATGCAAGAAATTGTGTTTCATGAAATGTATGATTCTCTGCAAACTAGAGGAACTTAAATGCATCTGTTTAGGAGAATGACATTTTCATTTTGTTGATCACCTAGTTTTTGAACTAATGAGTTCATCACTAGCTGGCAAATAGTGTCATGAAAGTTAAACGTTTGTAGAGTTCATAACTACCAGGGTTATAATGGCTATGCTTGTTAAACATATAGGCTGATCTAGGACCCATTCACTGTGCTGCAATGCAAGTGTTTCAGTGTGTTGTGGCATGCTGGGTTAGGCAGCCCATTCAACATAAGTGGGCTTCAATGCACACCAAATTGTGTGTTGTGAGGCCCTGTGCTGCAATGTACAAGTTAATTGGGGTGTCATTGAAACAGAATGGTACTGCAGCACACTACTTGCATTACAACATTTTGGACAGTGTGAATGCGTACTATTGCGAGAACATAAAGGAGCAACTACCTATAGCAACCATTTTTCTTCATTTGAAAGATGGAATCCAGACCAGCTGTTGCTGCACAGATCTCAGTGTTTTGGAAGTCTCATAAAGCATTAAGGCCACTAAAGAGGAACTGTGACATTGCTTGGGTACCCTGTAAAGCATATATTATGATAAGTAGTGGTCATGGCTAAAATATGTCAATGCAGATTACTCAGGTTAATCCATATATTTATATTCATGTCTTTTAACTGTAGGTGAAACAAGTATTGAACAAACTTTATGAAAACAAAAAAATTGCAAGTGCGACTCACAACATATATTCATACAGGTTGGTAGTTAGTCTGTATTAATATTCCTCACTCACTGTACAATAGAATGAGTTTGCAGAGCTTTACCACATTCATTGCCTTCTTTGCTACCTCCTGCCTTCCTTGCTACCTCCTTAACATTTGTATAGAAATATCAGATTGGCAAATTTACAAAAGGGATTGCCTTGCATTATCAATGCACATAGCACATGCAATGTTTATTGGTGGAATTTTACTAAATTATTCCATGTTTTCACACTTCTTACCATAAGCTTGTATGTAAACATCAGTTCAGAAGGACTATTGCACATATTATCTCTAGTTAAAATGCATAAAAACCTGACTCTTGGACAGAGGACAGAAACAAAAAAATCAATTTTTAGTGGAGATAAATACTGATTAATGTGACTAATTAATATGATTAGTATAACTTCTCATTAATGATTGTTTGTGAATTCAACCTTTTTAAATAGCAGGGGGTTATTGAGCATTTATAAAGAATATTCATATTACAGAAGGCATGAATGTACAGTGGGACATTCAATTAATCATACAAACAACACCAATTGATAACAGAACAAATATAATGCAAATCCGAAAGTCATTTCGTTAACCGGTGTGGTGAAGGCGTGGATAAGGGTATACATGTACAGGCTATTGAGATATGAGGATGTAGATTTGTAGGTGAGTGAACATTTAAAGGTGGGGATCCAATAGTTTGGAGGGGAAAAGGGGAATCATGTCCAATAGGAGGGAACAGCAGTCGTTACCAGCTAAGAAGGTGATAATCAGCTTTACCAACTTCACTTCTTAAACTGAGCGGAGTTAATGAAAGTGATCCAGATACTCCAAGTGGATATATAGTGAATTCAATGTTTTGAGAAGAAAATTGGCATGAGGTAAACAACAAATGCAGTTAAGATAACTCAAACTTCTTGAACTTGATGAAATGAATGATAATGAATTTGATATAAACTTTATAGCTTCCACCAAGTCTGTATCAGCAAGTATTTTCTTATCTGCAGAATATACTCCAAAAAGACACACAGCTTTATTCAAGACTGTGAGGATGATGGAGAAACAGCGGCTGGTAAACGTCTTCTACATCTTATGCAGGTATGTAGAATTCCATTGATTTCTAGCAGGGGTGCCCCAACCTGTGGTCTGCTGAGTCTTCTGATGTGGCCCACGACCTCAAACCAGGGAAGTGCATGCCCGGAGTCAGCAACTCAGGATATTGGATTGTTGCTTTAAAAGTATTCTTTACACTATGAGGGTACATTAAGTGCAGAGAATTGCGAGCAGTGAAGGCCATGCTCTTTGTCCATCAGGACCTTTGTTTTGTGTGTACAATAATAGTTAAAGCACAATTCCAGTTGAACATTTAAAGGGTAAGTTCACCTCTTAACGAAAAATTAAAAGGTGAACTAGCTCTAAAAATCCTGGCCACCTTTCCAGACTTCGCTGCATATGATGCCCGATGGTACCGATGTAGCAGTGTGCAAACTGCAGTATGCAGCCCCAGAGTATCCATTATAATGCTATGGCAAGTGCTCAATGGTCAGCACAGCCATGTGCCTGTGCTGACCAATAAAAAGCACATCTGAGGCTTCTTATTTCGGTAAGTTTTCCCAGAGGAAAGAAGCCAGAATTTTCAGAGTTCGTTCACCTCTTCATTTTTGGAGAAACCAACCAACCTATCCTTAAAACAATACCTGGCTTCCCCAGCACTGAGTAAAAATAAAAAAGCAGCTCCAGCTATTATAGTCACCTGATCTCCGGTGCTGTCTGCTGCAAACTCGCTGATTCAGCATTGCTCACTAGAGTCTAAAGACAATGGCTGTGTCAGAATTGCCTGCGCCTTTATGGTGAAGTGACTGCTACAGATTTATGAAACTAGTTGGCAGTGTTTTTTGGAAGCAAAGTATTTAAATTCACTTTTACCTTGAGTGGATTCTTCAGTCTTAATGATTCACACCTTATCTAATGGACCCTACCTATACACCTTATTTGAAGAGTTTTTATTTACAACACCAGGCCATATCACAAGGAGGTACTGAGCCTTGAAGTTCCCTTGGCCACATTTAAAGCCAAACTAAAGTCTGCAAATACCTCCCCTCGCTCCCTCACCGGAGCAGACATTTTCCCCTCAGCTTCTTCCAGCTGCCAGGTTGTTGGCTGGTGGTAAATGATGTAACTCCTGTCCTTGTTCATGGGAGATCATTCATTCCAGCACAGAGGTGTGTGGAGAATGTACACTGAGCTGCTGTAAAGAGAATTGCAAACAGGCAGGTTAGATTGTTTTTATTATAGAAGAGACAAATGAGGGGGCAGACAAGGAAGGGGGTAGCCAAGCCTGAAATTTAGATTTAACATGACTGTTTATTAAAAAAAAAAACAGTACAAAGAGTATTTTTGAAGCCTGTAATTCTTGAAAACTGACTATGAACTGCAAAGTTTGCCTGAACTGATGTTTACTGGGAAGAGTATATGTGGAATTATAGGAGTTAAAGTGGTAAGGCTGAAGATTTTTACCTTAATGCATTCTCTGCAGTGCAGCCCCCCTTATACTTATGTGAGCCTGATCTTGATCCAGCAATGTGCATGAGGGCAGCAGCTCTCTCGGCTCTTTCCCTCCTCATAGGCTCAGAGACAGCAGTGGGAGCTATTGACTCCCATTGTTGTCAATCAAAGCCAGTGAGGAAGGAGGAGGGGTTGGGGCAGAGCCACTCTCTGTGTGTCTATGGACACACACAGCCGACTCAGGAGCAAGCCCGCATGAGTGTGGCTTGCTATAGTGAGCACTCAGTGGGGGAGGGGGGTTTGTGTGGAGCCAGGAGCGTCGGTAGGGACCCTGAGAAGAGCACAGAGCAGGTAAGTATGACATGTTTGTTATTTAAAAAAAAATAGGTATACAATGGCTTTAAACATTTTTGACAAGTTCACTTGCAAGAATGTTTTTCTCAAAATTAGGACATTATTCAGGTTGGAAGTTCGGCTTATGGCTATTCTCTATTCTTGAATATTCAATCAAATGTGCCAAAAGATTTGCCTGTCTATGTACAGCTTACAATGATATCATTGACACAAGTATTATTGAAATGTTTCTATTTTGGGACAATTTGCATTCTGTTCTGTCTTAGGCATCTCAGGTTTTATCTAATAGTAACAGATGACAAATTATGGATATGAATATTTTTGTTGTTTGTAGATTTTAGATGTGAAAGATGTAATGGTGGTAGTATCACGTTGGTACGGAGGCATTCTTCTCGGACCTGATCGCTTCAAGCATATAAATAACTGTGCACGAAATATACTAGTGGAACATAACTACTCTTCATCTGCAGTAAGTTTTCACTATAACCTGGTAGATTTCAGTCGTTTTCAATACAGACTTCAGATTAAATGGAATTGTCCCTTAAAGTGCTCCATAAAAACATCAAAGCAAGAAAGCAGGTGTATGCAGACAACGTTCCAGAGGATATTAATTGCATTGATATAAATTTCTATGAATGTTTTCTATTCTTCGACTAGAGTGCGTCTTTCCACATGTGCTGGTGTGCATCAGAGTGCCATGCACAGCCATTCATGTCTATGGGTGACTGTACTCAGCACCTTCCTAGGCGGGGCTGACATGTCAGTATCTACGTTGCATGAGCTCAGGGCACGTGTGCACGAGCCCTTATAAGTGCATTTGCACTTAGTCTCATGAATACCCATTTAGCCTACCAGTAAAGTATGCTTCACTGCTCCTGAATTCAGAGTGGAATTGCCACTCTTATGTGGGCTGTCTCTGCTTGTACTACAGTAGGATAAGAAGACGTTGCAGGAGGTTTGGCCACCTGCATTGTCCCTCCTCATTCATAAACCTGTAGCTTGTTACTCAGCTCTTGGACACGCTTTTCTGGAAACCCTTTCTCAGTGAGTTGCAGTGCCTGGAAGGGAAGTGTGTGAGACACAAATGAAAGGGAATTTGAGCTAGTGAGGGAAGGTAAAGCCAGTTTTTTGTTTACTTTATGCAGCTTGCGTATACCACACAGTGACTAGATTTGGTAATTGTTTAGACTGTCATTCAGGAACCTTTTAATATTAAAAAAAAAAAGTAAATTTTTATATTTTGCAGTTTACTAGTCTTTAAATGTGGTAGCTGCATTAGTTTTTTTTTTTTGTTAGGAATTTTTCCTTTACTTCACCTGGTTTCTAACCAGTAACTCACTTCCTGTCTTAGGGTGTCTCCACCCTGGACAGAGGAGTAACAGAGTGGACTGCAGCATTGTCAGTGTGGGGAAACGGTAGTGTTAGATGTACTACCAAATTTAAGTGGACCTGACTAACAAATGAAAGCTAACCGTTTTTAAGCAGCTACAGTACCAGCTTATTTTTAATTTGGGGGTAAAGGTTTAAGTGAATAAAATCTGACCATTGTAAGCACCTTTTGTCAGTGTTAAATGGTTTGTCTCAACCCTCTAACAGACACTTTTGCTGGAAAGCTTGGTCTGTAAAAAGAAGTTGAAAAATAAGTTGCTTATTGGCAGAGTCAGCAGGTGAAAAAAAAATAATGTAGCCACTACATCTAAGAATTGGTAAGATGTGATACATTAACATTTCTGTTTTTGGGTTTATACTACGTTAAGATCAAATAACTACATAATTGCATATAAGGGATTTTTTTTGTTTGGGATATTATGCTGTTTGAAACATTTCTTGTTAAAAAATACCTGTCTATTAGTAGTGATCATTGCAAATGAGAATAAATTGGCTTTAAGTGTTGCTAAACCCACAATAGTAAAATCAGTGTGTACATGCAGTAAAGCATGCTTGTTATGCTCACTGTGGAACCTAAGGGGTTAATCCTCTGCATAGTGTAAAACAGCTGTTTGATCCTGTGTTCTGTGATCCTCCCCTTCTTTCACAGTCCCCAATCCATCTGCTGATAGTACAGAGCCCTAGGAGGCACTCTGCACATGCTCAGTTTGGTATTGCACGAGTTTTTTTTTTTTTTGGTAGAGTGCATGTGATCAGAACAGGGCCAATCAGCACTGTCTAGACAGAGGGTCAGGGGTCATTCAACCTCTTAAGACAGTCAGAGGCTGAAAACTCCTCCTACAAGATTTAACCAGTGCTCAGCTGGACACTGATAGAAGTCAGACTACTATATACTGCTAATGAGAAAAGGCATTTAGCAGTTTATATTTACAAAAATAATTACATTTTCAAGTTCTGTATACTGTGGGAGACCCAATATAGTGAAAGCAAGGTCCTGGGTTTAGTAACACTTTAAAATATATTTATTATTCTCTTTTAATTATTTTAGGATGAATCTTGTAAGCATGGAAAGAACAAAAGCAATTCCAAAGAAGGCAAGAAAAGGACGGAACATTGATATGTCAGAAATAATGGATGTAGGATGTTAAGAAATTATCATTAATTGCCAAAGAAATGCCATCTTTAGGTTTTAAAGGGGTTGTGACAAGATGAGTACCCAAGTTTAACTTCACTTCATTTTCATTTCAAACTTCATTTCAGTCTACATCATGGAAAGCAAATACATACTTGGGGAATCCAGCCGCAAAGGGTGACACTATTATTTTGGCCCTTTGGGAGGGAGCAAAGAAAAAGACCACCACACAGAATTTTTCTATTACAGTGCCAGCCAGAATGTAAGTGAAGTCACTGTTGGCCCTAATGCCCAGTTTTGGGTGGAGTAATTCCATTTCCATGTGAAAAAAAACATGAGCATGAAATCTGCTAGTTGAAATAATTAGATAAGTTATTTTTCATTTCAGAACACCTAAATAAATAACCATTATTATAATAGCTAATTTCTGTTTGTGTTTTTATGTGTCAGTAATTCTGACACAAGTAATATCTGTTGCCTATATCTACAAGTACAAAAGCATCTATAAGTACTATCGAGCAGTGGTGGTCAGCTTGCAAATAATAGAGAGACCCCTGGCATTGGTGTCAGTGGGTGCAATTAACCCCTTCCCCCAGCATTGGTGTCAGTGGATACAAAAATAACCTCCAACATTGGTGCTCAGTAGCAGTGCTATGTACCACACCCCCCACCCATCCACTGGTGGTCAGTGCAGTAATAGTGAAATTTAACCCCCCAGCATTGGTGGTTAGTGCAGTGACAATGATGTTTACACCCCAGCAGCATTGGTGAATAGTGCAGTGGCAGTGAAAAGAGAGGGGAAAAAAAACATAAGAAAAGAAAACTGATGCAGCCACCACATCTAGTGATTGGTAAGCTGCAATATAGTATTTTCAGTTTTGGGTGTAATACTGCTTTAAGCTCTTTTTTTCTGGCTAAAGATTTCTTGTGCACAAGATTTAAGAAAAAAACATTGGCATTCACTAAAATACTGCGTGAGTTATTTTATTAAGTCGTGCGGTATTTTAACAGTGAAAACATGCGTTAATGTATTAGCTGTCAGCGGGGTTCCCCACTGACAGTTGAATGCAAAAAAAAGAAATTCTTGCAATGAAAAATTTAGTAAAAAAAGCCCTTCAGGTCTGGTATGGATTCTGAGGGGAACCCCCACGCGAAAATTAAAAAAAAAAAAAATAAAAGGGCATGGGGTCCTCCCCAAAATCCTTACCAGACCCTTATCTGAGCATGCAGCCCGACAGGTCAGGAAAGGGGGGAATGGAACTATCGACACCACTATGACATCACCAGGTGGCCCCCTACCCCCTTAGATATTTAAGAACTGTCAGGCCGGCAGAGCCTTCGTCGAAAGCGGAGCCTTTTTGTTTTCCTTTTTCGGGTAGGCGGTGGTGATGGGCACTCTGATTGACAATGAATCTACATCGGGGGACATTTTTTTTTATTTTTGCTTTTTTTTTTTAATAAAGGACTTGTCAAAGACTGCCTCCTGCCTTTTTTTACACTACATTTCTTTTTATTGTGAATAAGCAGCGGTACCATGTACCCCATACTCATTCAGATGGGGGGGGTGGGATCTGAGGGCACCCTTGTTTAAAGAAGGCTTTCAGATCCTGCTAAGCACCCCGTCCACAGACCCCCACAACCACCGGCCTCTGTTGTGGGGATGAGACCCTTGTCCCCATCCACATGGAGACAAGGTGCTTTGGGGGGAGCCCCCCTGCCCAAAAGCACCCTCCCATGTTGAGGGCATGTGGCCTGGTATGGTTCGGGGGGGGGGGAGGGTGCTTGCTCTATCCCCCCTTTCCTGACCTGCCAGGCTGCATGCTCAGATTACTTGGGTGACATCACCAGGTGCCCCCCTACCCCCTTAGATATTTAAGAACTGTCAGGTCAGCAGAGCCTACGTCGCGAGTTGAGCCCTTTTTCTTTTTTTTCTTTTCTTGGGTCGGCGGTGGTGATGGGCACCATGATTGACAATGCATCTACATTGGGGGACATTTTTTTTTTTTTTTTTTTAATAAAGGACTTGTCAAAGACTACCCCCTGCCCACCCTCTCATGTTGAAGGCATGTGGCCTGGTATGGTTTGGGGCTGCGGGGGAGGGTGCTTGCTCTATACCCCTTTCCTGACCTGCCAGGCTGCATGCTCAGATAAGGGTCTGGTATGGATTTTTGGGGGACCTCATGCCATTTTTGTTTCCGTTTGGCGTGGTGGTTCCCCTCAAAATCCATACCAGACCCGAAGAGCCTCGTATGGATTGGGGGGGCACGCTGTTTTTTTTTGCTTAATTTTGAATTGCCAGCATTTCTTTTTTTCTTACATTCATCTCTCAGTGAGGAACCCCACTGACAGCTGATGACTCATAGGTTGTTAAGGACGCATGCAGCCACCCACTCCTTAACAACCATGACAGTTACCAGTACATACTGTATGCCTGGACCACAACCATATGTTGCACTGAAATATATTTCATGCTCTTTGCAGGAGATTTACTAAAACTGGAGCACTCAGAATCTTGTGCAGCTGTGGTAACCAATCAGCTTCTAACTGAAGCTTGTTCCATTAGGCTTTGACAATAAAACCTGGAAGCTGATTGGTTACTATGCAGACCTTCTTCAAATCTAAGATCTCATCATACATGTCCTCCTTCTCTTTAAAGTCTGGTGTTCCTGTCAACAACCTGTCAGTTGTTAGAAAATAAATGAATTCAGATCAGTCATTTAGGATGTAGAACATATAGACATTTAGGGGGGTTAGTCTACCTGTTAGTTTTGGTTAGATGTCAATGAATTTAACTAAATAGCTTCTGTAACAGTCAGATCTCCTTTTCCATATTTCCATATGCAGACATCTTCTCTTGTCATTTTAGAGGATCTTAAGCTTGACATACACACAGATTTTTTTTTCCTTCAGCCAAATTAAACAGCATGGATGGACAAATTTCCCACTGCGGCTATTGTATTCTGACAAACAGCGCTGCCAGCTGTAAGAATGCCTGAACAGTGTCTGCAGCTGACTGGATGCAGGTGCTGTTCGGCCAACAGTTTTCCAGTGGTCCCTTCCATTTTTCATTTGGAGGATGTCTTGGGGGAGGGTGCAGACAGAGCCATCCAGGGACATATCTGTGGCTGAACAAAAGAAAATCACAGGTTTTCCCCATCCACGGTAAACAGTGTGGACGGAGAAGTCTCCAGGACTAGCTATTGTATTTAACAGCTGAATACCTGAACAGTGGCTGCATCTGATATGACACTGTCGCTCTTCGGATGCTGAATGTTTTCCACTCGACTCAGGCGCTTGTTAAAATGACTTTCGGCAAGTCAGATAGCCACAGCAGTCAATTCCAACCTTGCTTCCTTGTTTTGATCTCCCAAAGCAGTATGGAGAAAGGGAAAAAATAGGACTGGTCACTATGGGCAGCACTGACTATTTATTGTGGTTGTAAACCTCAGACATGAAATATGAACAAAGCATATCCCTCTATAGTGTGTACTTGTCTCTATCCCTAGCACTGAGTGTCATTTCTGTCTGCTGCTTCATTTCTCTGCCATTAGTATAAATAACTTTTGACAAGTTTTCCTGACACCAAGAGAAAAAAAGGTGACAGGAATCTCCAGCAAATTGACAGCTTCAGCTCTGTTCCTGTGAGCTGTGAAGGGGGTGTGTCCCTTCCCTCCAATCAGCTCTCAGATTTCTCCTCAGTTAAATCTGCAGTGTGTAATTTCAGCTCTCTGCCCCATTTTTTCTGAAAGCTCAAACAAGCTGTAAAAATTCTGTGCTTTCAATGGATGTAGACGAGAATACAGCAGATAAATAGGTACAACTTATGTAAGAGGATGTGTTTCATCTCTATACATCACCTAAGGCCAGTCTTTACTGGGTATATGTAAGGGTTTACAACCACTTTAGGACAATTTCATCCCTATAAATAACTGTGTGAGTTTGACCCTCATTGTCTTAGTTAAGATTTTACAGTTACTGTTACTGGAGGAGCGGGAGTATTTCCGCTTCTTCATCCCGAAAGCTTCCTTGAGATACTCCGGAGTACTGCTGCCAGGATTCACCCAAGCCTGCCTGATGTCAGTGTCTGATTCCTGGGGCCGAGTCAGGCCTGTGTGTGGTCACTTACATCTACACAAAGTCTACATGATTCCACTTGCAGATGTTGGTAGTTTTATACACTGCCTTTGCTGTGGCCTTTGCTGTTACTGCTTCATGGGTTTCACACAGACATCACTTTTGTCTTTTACTTTCATGTTTGCCTGGAAGACCTTGGGGGTTATTTACTAAAACTGCATAATTCAAAATCTGGAGCAGCTCTGCACATAAACTAGCTTTCAGGTTTTATTGTCAAAGCTTAACTGAACAAGCTGAAGTGAGAAGCTGATTGGCTCCATGCACAGCTGCACCGGATTCTGAGTGCTCCAGTTTTAGTAAATTCCCCCCCCCCCCCCCCCCTTGTAACTATTTTTCTATTGTAGTCAGTCATTTTTAATAAATGTTCAGTTTTTTTCTGCATTTCATAAATGGTCAAACTGAATAAAAATAACCTGTTTTTATTTTGTATAATACAATACTGTATTCCAAACTATCTGCTTCCTGTTTTGTGCAACTTATAAATAAACAGCTGAATGCGAATGAAAGGTGCACTCACTCTGGGCACAGCTGAACTGAATCATGGCCAAGTTCCCTTGTCCCCCTCCTCCCACTCCTGCACTGGTCTGCACTCACACTGGGCTAATAGCATGTGTTCCCAGGCGCACTTTCATCTCTGCTAACCACACCACAGTATACCCTGCTTCTGTGCTCAGTTATGGGAGGTTCTGGGCTTTGCCATGGTTTACACACACACTGATGCAAACTTAACCAGACCACAAGTAAACTGTGCCCAGGACCACATCTTTCAAGTGATCCTGGTCATGGTACACTTAACCATCCTGGGGCACAGTTCACAGCACTCACCCTACACAAACAAGCCGCACCCAAGG